AGCTGGCACTGCAAGTAGGAAATAAACAGGTAATGCACTGAGCTAAGGCTGTGCTCAGCTAAGGCTGCGCTGAGCTAAGGCTAACACTGAGCTAAGGCTAAAACTGAGCTAAGGCTGTGCTGAGCTAAGGCTAACACTGAGCTAAGGCTGTGCTCAGCTAAGGCTGCGCTGAGCTAAGGCTAACACTGAGCTAAGGCTAAAACTGAGCTAAGGCTGTGCTGAGCTAAGGCTAACACTGAGCTAAGGCTGTGCTGAGCTAAGGCTAACACTGAGCTAAGGCTGTGCTGAGCTAAGGCTGCGCTGAGCTAAGGCTAACACTGAGCTAAGACTAACACTGAGCTAAGACTAACACTGAGCTAAGGCTGTGCTGAGCTAAGGCTGCGCTGAGCTAAGGCTAACACTGAGCTAAGGCTAACACTGAGCTAAGGCTAAAACTGAGCTAAGGCTGTGCTGAGCTAAGGCTAACACTGAGCTAAGGCTGTGCTGAGCTAAGGCTAACACTGAGCTAAGGCTGTGCTGAGCTAAGGCTGCGCTGAGCTAAGGCTAACACTGAGCTAAGACTAACACTGAGCTAAGGCTAACACTGAGCTAAGGCTGCACTGAGCTAAGGCTAACACTGAGCTAAGACTAACACTGAGCCAAGGCTGCGCTGAGCTAAGGCTAACACTGAGCTAAGGCTGCACTGAGCTAAGGCTAACACTGAGCTAAGGCTAAAACTGAGCTAAGGCTGTGCTCAGCTAAGGCTGCGCTGAGCTAAGGCTAACACTGAGCTAAGGCTGTGCTGAGCTAAGGCTGCACTGAGCTAAGGCTAACACTGAGCTAAGGCTGTGCTGAGCTAAGGCTGCACTGAGCTAAGGCTAACACTGAGCTAAGGCTAAAACTGAGCTAAGGCTGTGCTGAGCTAAGGCTAACACTGAGCTAAGGCTAAAACTGAGCTAAGGCTGTGCTGAGCTAAGGCTAACACTGAGCTAAGGCTAACACTGAGCTAAGGCTGTGCTGAGCTAAGGCTAACACTGAGCTAAGACTAACACTGAGCTAAGGCTGTGCTGAGCTAAGGCTAACACTGAGCTAAGGCTGCACTGAGCTAAGGCTAACACTGAGCTAAGACTAACACTGAGCTAAGGCTGTGCTGAGCTAAGGCTAACACTGAGCTAAGGCTGTGCTGAGCTAAGGCTAACACTGAGCTAAGGCTGTGCTGAGCTAAGGCTAACACTGAGCTAAGGCTGCACTGAGCTAAGGCTAACACTGAGCTAAGACTAACACTGAGCCAAGGCTGCGCTGAGCTAAGGCTGCACTGCAGCCAGTGAAGAGTTAACTAGTGATGTAACTAATAGATAAAGGCTATCAGTGTAATTCAACAGGCAGTGCAGTAACTGATCCTGCAGCGTACAGATGATGTTAAAGGGTAGTTTTTGGCTGTAGTTCTGTGTTAAATGTGAGCTGAGAGGATTTCAGATATAAAACAGGCCGAAACGCCGTAGCGCAGTGAGATTAGCGCTCAGACAGACGGAGCTTTATTCCTGCGGCTAAACACAAACAGAGCGCAGACTCAGACTGAGACTGAGAGAGCTTTCACTGCAGAGTCAATGATCAGCCTCAGCAGGCCTCCCTCTCTCTCTCTCACTCTCTCCCTCTCTCTGTCTCTTTCCATCTCTCTCTCCCTCTCTCTGTCTCTTTCCATCTCTCTCTCCCTCTCTCTGTCTCTCTCCATCTCTCTCCCTCTCTCTCTGTCTCTCTCCATCTCCCTCTCTCTCTCTCCCTCTCTCTCCCTCTCTCTCTCTGTCTCTCCATCTCTCTCTCTCTCTCTCTCCGTCTCTCTCTGTCTCTCTCCATCTCTCTCTCCCTCTCTCTGTCTCTCTCCATCTCTCTCTGTCTCTCTCCATCTCTCTGTCTCTTTCCATCTCTCTCCCTCTCTCTCTGTCTCTCTCCATCTCTCTGTCTCTCTCTCTCTCTCTCTCCGTCTCTCTCCATCTCTCTCTCTCTCCCTCTCTCTCTCTGTCTCTCTCCATCTCTCTCTCTCTCCTGCTGAGATTTTCACCTCTACTCTACCTTTATGTTTATGCGCTGAATATTAAAGAGTCCATATCTTATGTTTTTCTTGGGTTTTATTTTCTCTCTGAGATCGTTTCCAGACTCGTTATCCCTCACATTCAAAAAGGCTGTTTTGTTACAGTGTCTTTAAGACTGGTATATGCAAATGAGCTGGGTTCTGATTGGCTGTCCTGAACTGTACCTCGTTTAAAAAAACAATTGTAATAACTTTAGGTGAATGGGCAGGGCTACACAGCTGTAAGCTGAATGGGGGGGGCTACACAGCTGTAGGCTGAATGGGGGGGGCTACACAGCTGTAGGCTGAATGGGGGGGGCTACACAGCTGTAAGCTGAATGGGGGGGGCTACACAGCTGTAAGATGAATAGTTTCCCTAGATGGAACGGCACATTTCAAAACGTGTGACAGTGTTTACATAATACATCAAATAATACTCATAATACTCTATTTCAAAATAAGTATTTTTCTGTGACATGGGCCCTTTAATAGGTCCCCCATGGGCCCTTTAATAGGCCCCCCATGGGCCCTTAAATAGGCCCCCCATAGGCCCTTCAATAGTTTACAATAACAGGGTTACAGTAGTGATGCTGTCTACCATACAATACAATGGAGACATGAATCTCTTCTGTATGGTAGGTAGGCTCCCTTTACTGGTGACATTACTTTGCATTGTTAGTTTAAGTTATAACAGCTGTAATCTAAGTGTCACTACTGTAACCCTGTTATTGTAAACTATTAAAGGGCTCATATCACAGAAAAACACATTTTTAAAAGAGGAGTTTGAAACGTGCCGTATGGTGGGACAGTGCGTGTGCTGTACTGCTGGAATGTGTCTGCTGTTTTCTTTGCTGGGCTGCTCAGTGGTGGAGGAGCAGATGAAGGAGCTGCCTGTTTATGTGAGGCTCCGTCTGTAGGTTCACTTTAAGACCTGCTCACAGACTCATATCAATACCCTACAGTACACACAGGGGGGAGGAGGGAGGGGGTGCTCTTTCTGCTGTTAGTGTGCACTAGTTTAAAGAGCCCATTCCCTGGAAAACTGACCTCTCCTCACAGTTTAATGTGGTACATAAACACTGATACATTCAGAATGAACTGTACACTCTCCAGTACATACAGTCCACAGAGTTTAGCCCCGCCCATCCAGCCTTCAGCAGTTTAGCTCCACCCATTCAGCCACCATAGGTTCTGCTACACGCTTGGAGAGGGAGGGGTGAGGGAGGGGGATTCAGCTGGTTGTGATCTGCAACCTCACCACTAGATGGCACTAAATCTTTAATGTGACTGTGCTGTTTGTGTGCAGTATGCACGCGGGGGGCAGGCAGACCCTCAGCTGTGCAGCTGGCCGTGTAAATGCCCCGCCGTGCGGCCGCAGTGCGCTCCGGGGGTCAGCGCGGTGCTGGACGGCTGCGGCTGCTGTAAGAGCTGCGCCCGGCAGATCGGAGAACCGTGCAACGAGAGGGACGTGTGTGACCCCCACAAAGGCATGTACTGTGACTTCTCCAGAGACAAACCACGCTTCCAGAACGGCATCTGTGCATGTGAGTGTCCATCCAAGGGATGCTGGTGCTATTGAAGAACCGTTTCACGTTTGAAGAACCTCTGTAGAGTTTAAAGGGTCTGTCTCAGTACGTAAACACTGTCGACATTTCAAAAACGGTCCATGCATGGAAACTAGGCTCCAACAATGCCACCAAAACTGGCACATTTACATATATTCAGCCTACAGCACTTAGCAGTTTAGCCCCGCCCACTTATGCCACAACACAGGGCCGACAACCAGAACCAATACTTCCCAATTATGAGAGAGTTCACTGTGTCTGGAATTCCTGTTGGGACGTATCAAGATTTTAACCCTTTTATTGCCAAGTAAAACTGAACGATGTAAAAAGAGTATTACTACAATGTCTGTACAGTTTGAATACACACGGTTCTACACTGCATATTTTTAGTTCCCAGAAACCATCAGGCCTAGAATACATATGTATATATATTACTTACTTACTTACTCACTAATTTATTTATTTATCTATATTTTTTTTCATTTGTACACAGCAGCTGCACTTAGTGTAAATGTTTCATAGTGAATGGACCAATAGAAATGCTTTAAATAGGCTTGGAATCAGAGTTGAGAACATTTTTGCTCTCTCTTGTAAAGTTAACAAGTTAACATTTGGGGTACTGATGAGGAGGAGGAGGAGTAGGAGGAGGAGGAGGAGTAGGAGGAGGAGGAGTAGGAGGAGGAGGAGGAGTAGGAGGAGGAGGAGTAGGAGGAGGAGGAGGGGTAACTGATTGCGTCTGAACTCTCTCTAACCGACTGTTTCCCCCCGTGCAGACCTGATGGCGGTGGGCTGCGATATGAACGGCGCCCACTACGATAACGGTCAGTCTTTCCAGCCGAACCCGCTGTATAAGTGCGTCTGCATCGGCGGCGCTATTGGCTGCACGCCGGCGTTCGTACAGAAACCCGCCGCCATGCTGAGTCCGGCTGGGCTGCAGAGCAGCGCCCCTGCTGGGCTGAAGGCCAAACACCAGCAGGACACCACCTACAGGACCATGTCAGGTGAGAGAGAGGCTCCGCCCACACAGGTACACACCCCCTCGGATACGGGTGGGCAGTCTGACCCTATTTACCTTCATCATTTCATGCTTTTCTGGCTGCACTGTCGATAACGTCAGTGCTGAAACACGAGAGACGGCAGATTTAACTACAGAGACAGCAGAGCTGACTGCTCACCTGTTTGGACCAACTCATTCACAGACCACAAGCTCTGTTTACAAAGCCTAAAACAACCGTGTTAATAATAGAGGCTGTTATTAAAACTGCAGCTCTTGTGATTTGAAAATTGTAGTTTTTCAAATTGCAATTTCAATATAAGAACGATGAATCGTTCAGCCGTAAACGAGAGCATAATCAGTCGTGTTAAAGTGGATTAAGTGCAGCACAGAATGTGAAATGTGGAATAAAATCTTTGTACTGATAGTTTTTCAGTATTTTTATATTTATATATAATGTAAATGTGGCTGTTCTGGTTGTTTTTTGTTAAACTAAATCTTACTTGATGCCAGAAATAAATATATTGATGTTATGTGTTGTGAAACTTCTTGAAGTATCGTGATATTATATTTGTCATATCGCCCACCCTTACTGTCAGATGTTTACCTTCCATGATAAAAAGTCACGTTTTTAATAAATCTGACAATGTTTTTAAGTTCATGCTATAATCCATACATGAAGTGCAGTGAGTGTGACTTGTGTTAAAGGGGAATTCCACCAATTTTCCAAAATTTCTCCCATAATTCAGTGTGTGAGGTGTAATCAGAGAGGTTCAGAGCGGTTTGGTGTGAAATGGTTCAGATCTCTTTACAGTGGTGGTGATAGGAACCAGGGGTCGCCATGACTACAACACAAATATAGACATTTTATTTACTATCCAGAACCACCAGTGAACCTACACGAGTCTTCTGAGTTTATATGGAATGTTGATGATGGAAAATAGTGAAAAATCTGAAATAATAAGTTTTCTTTGGGGACTATTTTGCCTCACAGCGCCCTGCATGTATCCCTCCACCATGAATGGAGTTTAAGTTCTCTAAACTATCATAAAACAGTGTCTCAGTCATCAGGCAGTGAATTCATAACCATTTCATGTAGGAACTTTCTGTGAGGGAGCTTTTAGAGGTGGACGTCTGGTTCCTATCACCACCACTGTGAACAGGTCTGACTCGGTAAGTTTATCTAGAACGGAGCGTTTCACACCAAACCTCTCTGAACCGTTCCGAATGACTCTGTTTACAGTTTAATTATGCAGAAATGCAGATTTAATCATGCAGAAATTGTGGGAAATCAGCCGAGTTCCTCTTTAGAGATGCTAGCTTGCTAGCATGCCGTGTGCTGGTGAGGAGTGAGGTGACTGTGACTGTAACATGACAAGCTTACAGGGATCCTCCTTTAGCCTGGAAGAAGAACTGCCTGGTGCAGACGTCGCCCTGGGCTCCGTGCTCACAGACCTGCGGCGTCGGCATCTCCGTCCGCATCTCCAACGACAACGGCAAGTGCGAGATGAGGAAGGAGCAGCGGCTGTGTCTGCTCAGACCCTGCGAGAAGAAGACCCTGAAAAACATCAAGGTACGATATTAAAACGATAGTTTGGAAGTCACTATTAAAATACATAATTCAGAATAAAACTAAATATTTCAGGGTTTTTAGGTTATAGGTGCTATTTTTGAACTTGGCCTGGGCGATCGGGTGATGTAATTGGATATTGTTGATGATGGACAGGTGATATATATATATATGTATATATATTACAAGTATATATAACTCAAGGTACATATATGCATATATTTATATATGATAATTAACGTATAATAATATCATAATGAATATATATATATTCAATAATACTCCCCACCCTAAAACAAATACACGCATATATATGATTTTCAATGAAACAGTTAATATTAAAAAAGCATAAAGACCAAAATACAACAGTATTTTAATCTGTAGGTAAGGAGAGGGGGATTTGATGATGTTATCGATGAATGTGATTTTTTAACGAGAAAGCAAGGTGCTCTATCAGTCTAAGGCCAGTTTGCATCATGTGATCAATCATGAGCAGTTTGCACTACAGACTAATCTGCACGACAGACGCCAGGCAACAAACGACAATACGCACACAATTCACAAAATATTAAATTATTGCTAGAAAAGTGTCCAACACAAAGTCTGTGACATCATTTTTATTGCTACACATCGGTTTGATATAAACAAGCTGCTGGCTCCGTTCAGGCCTGGACTGCTCCTGGACGTCTGAGGGGTTACTGTTTTTTAATTAGTGCACTAATTTGAAAGTGAGCTCCTGATTGTTTCCTCCACACAGATTCCAGCAGGAAAGACCTGTAAGCCCACCTTCCAGGCCAGGAAAGCGGAGAAGCTCTCGCTGTCCGGCTGCACCAGCATTAAGAAGTACCGTCCGACCTTCTGCGGCGTCTGCACCGACCGGCGCTGCTGCGTCCCCAACAAGTCCAGAGCGGTGCAGGTGCAGTTCCGCTGCACAGGGGGCGCCATCGTGAACTGGAAGATGCAGTGGATCACTTCCTGTGTGTGTCAGAGGAAATGCGACCAGCCGGGGGACATGTTCTCCGATCTGTACTTACTGTAACACAGACACAAACACACGTTATGAGTGGGGAACCGTTAGAATCAGGGCTTCAGTACCATAAACGTTAAAAACCAGCCAAACACAATTTCTGCTAGCACATCTATGGGATTTCTAATAGTGTGTAAGCTGAGGCCGGTTCACATGAACCTTCTGGGCCGGTTCTAGATTAAACACAGACATGTGAAGCTTGTAAAAGTCATTCCAGGTGTTTTATTGTTCAGTCTGTATCAGTCATTATCGTGTATCTGATCTCGTGTGTATCAGTGTTACAGAGACTCTTTCAGTACAGAGTTCTGCACAGAGCTGCTGCCACTGTTTAACACTCCTAACAACTAACCGGAACACTGCTTAGGCTACGACTCATATTCACAGTCAGTTATCTAGAACAGGAGCAGAAGTTCAGTACAACAAGCTTGATTATTATATTAAATGAAGATGAACTGAATATTACAGATATGTATATTTTTCATAGAAAGGTTCCTCACTGCATATTATACATAAAGGATGTATAACAATCTGAGAACTGGAGCTCAGAGCTACATTTAATGACACGTACATATAATCTCAGGATGTTCTTAGAGCTGCAGGTACAGATGTGTTACAATTCAGGGTGATACACACACAACACACTCAAACACAAACATACTGCAACTAGAGAGGCTAATTTAGGCACATTCTGATTAATAACTGATTGTCAATCAAAGTGAATAACCGGCACGAATAAAATTAAAGTCGCAACCCATCAAAATAGATAACTGCAGAAATCAGACAGCGATCAGAGCCGTACTACAGAAACAGCTTAACTCCGAAATCTGATGTGTTTGGTCTCCATGACAACTTCAGTCTGGACTGAATTTCGGACAGCAGCTATTCCAGAATAACAGTTCCTACCTTCATAATCTCATCATGAACTCCAGATAAGAAAACAGCATCATACAAACATCCTAACTAGACTGAACCTCCTAAATCCTGTCCTAACTTTAGGATGAACCCCAACAGGGTCCTCACTTCTGTTTAAGGTCCGTTTCTATGGTTTTTAGGCAGCTGAGTCAGCAGCATAGTTCACTACCAGCATAATGAGCTCCATTTATTCCTACTGTAAAACGCTGCTTTCACTGTGAGATGATTTTCTTTTCTAACTCTGCGTTTTAAAGATCTCAGACGCTGCAGACTCGATCTCCACCGCCCCTCTGATCACCTTCGTGTGTTAATGTTGATGATGAAATATTACAGTGATGGTGGTGAATAATGAGGAGACGGAGCTGAACGTGTGTCTGTTTATTAGGAGGAGTAACGTTAGCGCGCTCGGCTAAAGCGTTTGGGAAATGGAGACTGAAACTGGGGAGCAGCAACGGTCTGATAAACAGCAGGGGGCGCTCTCGCAGTATTCACTACTTACTGTTTAGCACACTTTAGTTCTGTTTGACCTTTTTTACATCAGTAACAGCAGCTTAACTCACATTTTAACGTTATTCTGATGACGTGTCCTGATTATTGATCTGTAAAGATCTGCAGTTTTTACTTCAGCAGCTCTGACGGCTTCTGTAGTTCTGCCTCTTCTGTTTGTCTCCTTCACACTAATGTAATCAGTGTTTATGGTTTTAGAGTCTGGACTAATCATATAGAAAACTGTATGTGTCACATCTTTAATGCAGCTATCAGTCTGTTTATACTGTAAGTTATTTATATCATAGACGAATGAATCTGAACTCACATCCAGCCTGTTATTCACATCTGATATAATAAAGACTTTAGTTCATGTTCAGGAGCGTCTGGCAAATTCATTAAATAACAGAAATCATTTCAGTAACTATCACTTTCTGATCCATCTCTATTTTCAGGAATAACCCACACCAAGTTCACTTTGTCTGGATCACGTATGCTTATTTTTATTTTTTATCTACAGTAAAAACTTAACATAGATTTATACAGCAGAAAACAAAAAATATTTTAATGTGTTATATTTAATATTCAAGTTTCTACTGGAGTTTATGTAGCAAAAGAGTCTGCTGTAGGCTGAATGGGCGGGGCTAAACTACTGTTTATTTTTATATATGGACTCTATAGACTCTCTATGGAGTGACCGGTACGTTTTGAAAATTAAGTGTTCTTATGTAATGAGCCCATATCATCAAAAATGATTTAGTATAAGTATTACTGTATTGTATGAACATATAGACAGTAACAGTACTGTAATTATTCCCCCCTGATTTCTGATGGAGTTTTATCACTTTTGAAATGTGATGTATTCTGGATATTAACTCTGAATTTCTTTCTGGATATTAAATTAGTTCTTCATTCTGGATATTAATTTGCAACAAAACACCATCAGTACTATAATCAGTACTATAGAAGTAAAACATTGGAGATCAAACTGAAAGCAGTGACTAATGTTTTGATCAGTAGTGTAATTAAAAGATTTCCACTTAAAAAGCACCTTAATATTTAATATCACACAATAAACAATCAGAAGATTAGAAATCATTCACAGAGCGACTAATCGATTTTATTAAAAAACAATCAGCTTCTGTTTCTGCAACAGGATTTCAGAAATAAGGTTGTTTTATACGATGTAAAACTGACTTTTTGTAGTCTGACAACGAAGTCTGAACATCTGAAAAGCTGCTGTATCCAGAATTAATAAAGAACATGAAAGACAGAATCTGAGTAAGTGATCCTGTGGTTTAATTAACTGTGTGCAACCTTCCCAGAAAACTGTAAACAAACATACATTATAATTACTACATACATTATAATAAATACCTCAATAACTGATTAACTTACAACCTTCAGTTCGACATGCACAGCATGTAACTGAGCACCATGAGGAGCTACTGCAGTCGACTCATACATTCATAGAAACAACCTAGAAATTCATTAGTTATGAATCAGGTGTCTGGGGTCCTTGACGTTAAGAGGCTGTGCAGTCCTAGTTGAGTCTGTGGGTTCCTGGACGTTAGGAGAATCATGTTGAGTCTTAGGGTGCCTGGACATTGGGTGGCAATATTGAGTCTTGGGAGGGTCCTGAACATTAAGAGGTGATGTTGAATCTGGGGGGTTCTGGATGTTAGTTGGCAATGTTGAGTCTTAGAGTGGTCCTGGACATTAGGTGGCAATGTTGAGTCTGGGAAAGTCCTGGACGTTACGTTGCAGTATTGAGTCTGCGGGGGTCCTTGACATTATGTGAATATTTGGGTCTGGGGGGTCCTTGACGTTAGGCAATGTTGAGTCTCGGGGGGGGAGGGACCTTGACATTAGGTGAAGTTGAGTCTGGGAGGGTCCTGGACGTTAGGTGGTGACGTTGAGTCTGGGGGGTCCTGGATGTTAGGTGGCGATGTTGAGTCTGGGGGGATCCTGGGTGGGGGCTGTTTTGGTGGAGTCCAGCTGACTGTACTCATCTATCAAAGCAGAGAGAGAGCTCAGAGCCTCACTGAACCCTCCCACATCCATCCCATCCACAGCCAGATAGTGATGCAGGTGAGCCTACAGCGCCCACACAAACACACAAACACACACACCCACATTAGAGCCCATTCTATATATTATTATCATATTGTTATCATTATATATCATTAATATATGAATACATGATCAGCAGAAATCTCAGCAATAAAACACTGACACGTTTAAACGTCTCTTTAGATGTTAAATCTCATCTAAAGAAAATCGAGCGATTGTGTTATTTATCTGGTTCAGGTTGCACTTTAACATTAAACATAAGGTTCATTTGTGTAGTTTGTTTAATGTTGTTAAAAACTTTTGTTTAAAAACTTTCTGCTGTTTATTTTTCAGAAATTTGACAATTAAGAATAATTATAATTAACACTTGGGAACTGACAATCATCAATCAGAAAAGGACCTTCCACCAAAAACTACAGAGTCTAATTTTTACCATATAAAATTACATCAGCTTGCGTTTGTCCTTCCATGGACTGGCCATTTTATTAGAAACACCCACCTTGTGCTTCCACTAACTGGTCACTTTATTGGAAACACCCACCTTGTGCTTCCACTAACTGGCCGCTTTATTAGAAACACTGTGTACTTCTCTACTGTAAGTGTAAGTGATGGCGTGGCTGTGTTAATGACTGAACCTTCTTGCGGTAGAGCTTGACGAAGCGCTCTCTGAGCTCTGTAAATGAGGACTTCACACAGGTGTTATTAGCCAGAGCCAGCAGAGAGTGAGAGTGACCAACAGGAGGAACTGAACACAGACCCGTCTTCCATCCTTCATTATTCCACTGAACAAACGACAGAGTCGGCCTCAGCCTGAGAGAGAGAGAGAGAGAGAGAGAGAGAGAGAGAGAGCGGGAGAGAGAGAGAGAGAGAGAGAGAGAGCGGGAGAGAGAGAGAAGCTGAATCAGCATTTTTACAGTCTCTACAGAATTAGTGTGACTGAGGAGATCCATATAGAGAAGAACAGTGAAATGGACAGTAACCTCTCAATGTTCCTGCGGAGGTCAGACAGCTGGACGTTGCCCCTCAGCATTAGAGCACAGGCCAGATAGAGGTTGTGTTTGGGATCAGCTCTCATCAGCTGGTGGTCTTTACTGAAGGCATCAGTGAACATCTGATCCAGCCTGGAGATCACAAACACATACAGTATTTCACAGTGTTTACTAATGATGCACTAATACGACTATTTTTAGTGTTTATTCCTCAGTGATACGGAGTCCGAAATCACACTGAGTACCTACTCAGAATGAAGTACCTGTCAGTGTAAATGAGTGTAATGAACTTCAACAGTTAAATCATTAAGTCTATCTGATGTTAATGAAGGTCGTTAGCTCGCTCTGCTACATCAGTGATCTCTGATCGAGCAGCGCTGCAGTGGAGGTTTAGTTCCCCGTCAGCTGTAAGTAAAGTAGGTTTCATAGTTTCGATCCTCATCTGTCTCTTTCAGCAGCAGCACAGCAACAGCAGGAATCACATCCGAGGCTGATGCATCCGAGGAGCTCACGCTTGTTTTCCGTCTTGTTGGAGCCGTTTGATTGGCTGGTTGAGCTGTAGATGAATGTCCCCTAAGGCCAGACAGACACTGTGTGATGTTAGAGCTCTTGTTCTTTGGTGACTCTCACTGTCCGTTTGAATAGACCATCGTGTTCAGACAAAGCTACGATTTATAAACTCACACTGTACGAAACGCTCCGTCTGACTGACCTGCTACGGGAAACGCAGCCTCTACAGACGCTCTGTCTACAGACCGTTATCAATAAAGCTGATTCACTCAGAATAACCGAGTACTGAGCAAACACGCTGAGACGCTGAGCAGCGCTGCTAACACTGAGCGCTGAAGATAAAGCAGGCGCTGATGTTCACGGTAGGACAGTTCGGTCTCTCTGCAGCCTGATTTACAGAAACATCACCGTATTAATGTTTATATCTCGATATTCTACTCAGTCAATCAGAGTAAAGTCTCATTTACTGACTTTAGTAGGAAACGTCGACTTTTTCTCCTCCACCCATGTTGGGGAAGTGATTGTGATTGTGTGTTTATAAACAGTCTATAATCTCTCAGTGTATCCTGGTGGGAATCTGCCAAGGCGGAATGTTTATAGCGAGCGACGGCTTTGTGTCCGACTGTGACGGAGTCAGTAACTCTTCTCTGTGTGATCAGATCCTCCTCCACTGTGTCTGTTTATTAGAGCAGCAGCTACACTCGCCTTACGGCACACGGTATCAGCTGGTATCACAATGTTGGTATCTGTGAATTTTTATGAGGTTCAGTAAATGAGCGCAGTATTAGGCCGATACCCGATACCAGCATCAGTATCGATACATCTACATATATACCACAGACGGAGACTTGAGTCACACGCTGACTGACTCACAACTTTGACTCAAGACTCATGCGAAAAACCATGACATTAACAGCGTCTGCCTCAATACAGTACATAAATAAAACCTTTCATTTCTAATCTCGTCAGTTTTGCTGTGGTCAATCCTGTAACGCTGCTCTCACAGCAGCATGAGGTTCAGATAACCAGTCTTTCACTACAGAACGTCCTCACTCTGCATACCTGCGGGTAGGAATATTAACATCTGCCAGCGTGTAGAGAGGAGTCAGACTGGACACCAGGTAGTGTAACCGTGGAAACGGGACCAGGTTCATTGCGATCTCATTCAGGTCCATGTTGAGAGAACCTTCAAAGCGCGCAGAGCTGCAGAGAGAACCGAACAGAAACAAACAACATTCATAATCTAGCTTCAACTTAAAAGATGCAACGTGATTTAGTCCAGGTTTACAGATAACAGTGTGTGATCAGAGATGACTGAACGGGAGTGAGGGGCGTCACACAGTATCAGGCGGTTTTGGAATGTTGGTATCAGTGCATTTTTATCAGGTTGATTTGGGGTTATAGGGCGAGAACCTGCTAAATGTAACAACATCCTCTGATCACCTCCTGACCTGGTAATGTTGAGCAGAAGGTTGGCCACGATGTTGTTCATGGCATCGAAGGGTTTCTCAGTCCTGGACACGCCCCCCTGCCCTGAGATGATGGTGCAGTCCTTCTTTATCACACTGCCTGGTTTTCCACTGTGGGCCATGTGCTGGATTTTACTCACAATGTCCACCAGAGACTAAACACACAACAGGAACGTCACTGATACAGAAACGAGGAAACACAGCTGGGCTTACTGAACTACTAATGGGCTACAGAAATAAACCTGCTGTGCCTCACACACTACTTTACCGTCACCAGGTCTCAAAATGTAGCCATGTTTACTAGTTACTCATCAATGAGTTTCATAATTCAGCTATTTTGGTTCAACATTAGCTATTTGTAATAACTGAAGTTCCAAAACTGAGCTATTTTTAATAATTGATTAGTACCAAAACTGAGCTATTTTTAATAATTGATTAGTACCAAAACTGAGATATTTTTAATAATTGATTAGTACCAAAACTGAGCTATTTTTAATAATTGATTAGTACCAAAACTGAGCTATTTTTAATAAACTAACACAGATAATAAATTAACACAGAAAACAGAATTTTTTTTGCTGGCTACTTTCAAAGTAGTGAACGTGCTGTTATTTACAGCAGAGAGGAAGGTAAATGAAAATGGAACAAACAAACAAACAAGCAAACAATAAAAAAACGCTTTCTGCTACTTTTTGAATGGTACATGGAATTTAAAGCTGTACTGAAGGTAAAGTTCTGTCTGCAGAGTTTTCTCTCCAGCATACCTGGTTCTCAACGGGTAGAACACAGTCTGCGTGTTCTGTGAGCTCCCTCATGGCTAGAACGCTGTTGTAGGGGGAAGTGATGACATCATCCTCAGCAGACGGATACACTGCCGTAACAAGTCGGCAAACATCCGGGAACTCGTCCTCAAGCAGCTTCAGAACCCGCGTCCCCAAACCAGAACCCGTCCCTAACATACACACACAGACATACACAGATTAAAATCATACAGAACAACATACGAACATGTTCAGATGAATAAACACACACATTATACATACATACACCAGCGTATACAGGTCATTTTTCTGTCCAAGTCCATTATTTTCTTTTCAGTGCATCCATATAAAATTCATTTCAGCTTCTTTCTGATAAAACTAGAGCAGCAAACTTCAGACACCAAACACATCTTGCTTTTTGACTGAACCACCTCTTTAACTCTGCAGACTCACCTCCACCCATGGAGTGTATGATGAAGAAGCACTGCAGGCAGTCGCAGTGCTCTGCTGCTCTGCGCACCTGCTCCACTATCTGCTCTCCATACACACCTCCGTAAGAGTGATGACCCACCGCCCTACACACACACACACACACAAACACACACACACAAACACACACACACAGAGAGACACACACACAGAGAGACACACACACACAGACACACACAGACACACACAGACACACACACACAGACAGACAGACAGACAGACAAACACACACACAGAGACAAACACACACACACACACACACACACACAGATTCACTATCAATATCATAAATCAACTTCAACATCTTACTCTTACCCCTAAGCTCCACCCACAGCACCACTACAACTACAGGTGATTCTACTGGGCTGGTTCAGACTCAGAGCTGAAACACATTCAGGACTTTTAACTGATCTTAGACTTTAGACTAAAACCCTTTCGCTCTGAGTGACTCTAAACCTTAATTAAGATTATTTTATTAAAACTAATGATTGAACATTCCACTCTGTCTCTACCTAAACAGTCATACCTCTACCAAACTTTACCAAATGTTTCAGTAGTGTCTGTCTCAGTGGTGTCTGTCTCAGTGGTGTCTGTCTCAGTGGTGTCTGTCTCAGTGGTGTCTGTCTCAGTAGTGACTGTCTCAGTTGTGTCTGTCTCAGTTGTGTCTGTCTCAGTGGTGTCTGTCTCAGTAGTGACTGTCTCAGTAGTGACTGTCTCAGTGGTGACTGTCTCAGTGGTGACTGTTTCAGTAGCATCTGTTTCAGTAGCGACTGTGTCAGTAGCGACTGTCTCAGTAGCGACTGTCTCAGTAGCGACTGTCTCAGTGGTGTCTGTCTCAGTGGTGACTGTTTCAGTAGCATCTGTTTCAGTAGCGACTGTTTCAGTAGCGACTGTCTCAGTGGTGTCTGTCTCAGTGGTGTCTGTCTCAGTAGCATCTGTTTCAGTAGTGACTGTGTCAGTAGTGACTGTGTCAGTAGTGACTGTGTCAGTAGTGACTGTGTCAGTAGTGTCTGTTTCAGTAGCATCTGTTTCAGTAGTGACTGTGTCAGTAGTGACTGTTTCAGTAGTGACTGTTTCAGTAGTGACTGTGTCAGTAGTGTCTGTTGCAGTAGTGTCTGTTTCAGTAGTGACTGTTTCAGTGACAATTTTAGCTCATTCTGAGCTCAGAAACTCAGCAGTTCATGACCAGCAAACACAGCTTTGAACAGCTGTTCACACAGAAAATCATCATATTTTACACTAAAACACTAAAAAGTGCTGAACTGCAGAAAATATGACGGTTCTTAATGTTCCACACTGATTTTCAGACTTTTGGGATTTACTTCAAAACAATGGGATCTAACTGCTCACCATGTGGCCATGAGGGACACGGATGCAGCCTCACTTCCTGCTCTAAATGCAGGGGCGTGGCTAAAATAAGGCTCTGCCCACAGACTAAAACTCGGTGTGTTTCAGTACTGACAGAAAAATGCGGAACAGCATTTTTTGAAGGACGATGAATCCAAAACTTTTATTTCACTTTAAAAGAAAAGAAATCAAAAAGAACCTTTAAAGAAAAAAATGAAAAAACAGAAGAAGTGTAAATTTAGAGGTTATTGTTTGGGACAGAATCCTGCCAAAAGAAAGTACCCTAAAAATGATGATTGTTTATATATTTAGCTTATTAATAGAGACAGTAATATCTTGGGTTTATATAGATCAGAACAGAATCTTCATTATGGTTTTAAATAGTTTTACTGTAGGAGCTCAGTTTGAACTCTCCTCACACTAATCAATACTTTGTAAGTTTCTGTTTAGGACATTTGAGAACGAATATATCAGTCAGTAAAGCACTGTTTCACTATTAGAATCTGTTTAACGGGTCAATATTATTGATCAGCTCCTTAAAACTACTATCGGTGCCTCATTGGCATCACCTTTATCATCTGTCTATATCATATTTGTTATTTATTCACCCTTTAAACCAGCCTGATCCTCGAAATTAGAATGTCTTTAAGGGTGTGAAGAACGTTCAGTCAAGTGGGTTTGAACTCGGCTACTGATGTCAGAGTAAAGCTGCAGTGTGTGAATGAGCTCAGCTGTGTGTGTATTCTGACCCACGGCCTGTGGGTGGCGCTCCTCACCAGTTGTTTCCAGAGCCGGACACATCGTTAATGAGCTGAGTGGAGCTGAAGAGCTGCCGCAGGGGTCCCTGTAGAACCTCAGAGAGAACACCCTCCTCCATATCCACCAACACCGCCTACAGGGAATTGGACAGAGATAGATACAGAGAGAGAGAGAGAGAGAGAGAGAGAGAGAGAGAGAGAGAGAGAGAGAGAGAGAGATATAGATATCAGGGGGGTCAGACATTTTCAGTGGAAGCACAAGGTAGGTGTTTCTAATAAAGTGGCCAGTGAGTGGAAGTAGAAGGGAGGTGTTTGTATCCTGACAGGTAGTCGTCCTCTGACAGTGTAGATCAGAGAACTGAAACAGCAGCTGTGTCTCCACATCTGTAGGACTGTGTTATGTGGATGTTCAGATGGGGAACTGACCCGAGCCCTCAGTGCTGAGATCCTGCTCCCTGGAGCTCCTCCACCTGCTCCATCACTCCTCCTGCACACACACAGCACTCACCATCACTCCACTGTAACACGGTTAACATGTGAAGCTTCATCTGCATTGAATCAATGATAATAATCAGTTATTTATAACAGGCCCAGATGAGGGAGAGAGGCAGTTACCTGGGATCAACGTTCTGGAAGAAGCTGCTCAGCGCTTCGTCATAAATTCCTTTCTGTGGAGAATAAACAACATGCAGGTGTGAAAGTGAGTGAGAGGCTTCATCTGTCACACTGCTGTCCGACTGAACACGAACAAACATTATGAAAATAATGACATGACCTTCTGCAGGTGGGATGAAAAACCACTGACATACACGTTAACTGGACAGCCTGTTTGCATACGAACTGCAGACAGCGGGCAGGAAGTGATGATCTACACAGGACGCTGTTCCAAACTCTCTGAATACCTGTGGTTTACATCATTTATGGTTGCTTAAACTGATCAAACCAAGAAACCACAAAGAATTTTCATCAAGCACCAAAGGTTTTTATTCATGAAGGAGAACAATGCAAGAAATTGACTGAAGAATGTCTTGCAAACCGTTGCCTGTGGTCAGGAGGAGTGCAGCACTGTATTCTGCACAGTTTATTTGTGGGTACTGTGGGTATCGAGAACCCATACTAAACTGGAACTGGCTCCTGACTGGTCAGTAGCTCCTGGACAAACGGTGCTGCTATCAGCGTTTACGTAACATTAATTAATTCTATATAGCTGGAATTTTCAGCTGGTTGGTGCTGATCGGATCAGCGTGGTGGGCGTCTGCTCTGCTCCGTGTGACGAAAGCGTGAGTACCTTAAACATTTCAGATGCCGTGCCTCATTCAGCGCGCCGGTCACGACTGAAAGGGTAAGATGCTCAAAAGTGTGACTCACTTTACTAAATTTATTGATAACACAGCTAAATGCAGTATATCGCTGCTGTCAGAGCAAAACCTCGTATATCCACAATGGTAACTTTACAGGAGAGGAACAAACATACTTTACTTTTAGTGTAAGTCAAGTGGCTCCTATTCACCAGCTTCTTGTTCAAATTCTCCCGTTCCACCTTAAACAGTGCAGCAGTTACACGATGCACTGAAGAATAGACCAGGACATCTGTTTGCTTGTGAAATCTTGTGAAGTTCTGCATTATGTTCATCAGTCTTCATGCATACCGTGTGTTCTCCGTATAACTGCACACTCTGAACCGTGAAACACTGGACGAAAACACGTATCGTTACACTCCTAACTACTGCAGTGTTTATTAATGATTAGCTTATGCCAGCAATTCTGAGATGATCTAAGATGTTTATGAAGTGAAGGAGACTGTATAGACAGAAGAGGATCTGAACGGAAGTAAAAGTAAATGTTCTTACCTTGTTGACGTGTGCGTGTTCTCTCAGAGCCAGGTCCCAGAACCTACAGCCCACCTGGTTACCGCACTGCCCAACTGACAACACAACACAAAACAGCACAATATACAATACAATACAATATAACACACCTGGGTTACTCAGTTTCACTGTGTTATTTATTTAGCGTTTTCATAACCGTCTTTCTGTCTGAAAACAGCACTCTTAAAAAGGATGGATCTTTAAGGGTTCCTTAGTAAAGACAGTGGTTTTATATAAAACCATGAACAATTAAAGAACCCTTTGCATGCTTAAATGGCTCCCTGCATGGTGAAACGCTTCTTCAGATTGATGGAGAATGTGCTGTATATATCTCTACACAGAACCTTTTTAAAAATGGTTCTTTATAACAGCATAGAGGGTTCTGCTACTGTCACAAACTTGACATCGTAACAATAGTATAAACTTTTTGGTGCTACATAGAACCATATACAACACATCAATTTCACCTTGTAGAGAAATATTTAAGCATGTAAAGGGTTTTTTGAGTGTTCATGGTTCTATATAGAACCAATGTCGTCAGTAAATAACCTTTGTAGAACCATCTTTTTCAGAGTATATATATATATATATATATATATATATATATATATATATATATATATATATATATATATATATATATATATATGTCACCTACTGCACTAAATCCAATAAAACAGGGCAAAGTATGCTGTTTGTATCAAAACATGCAGTTGGGAAGCTTTTTTTAAGTACTGATAAAATCCACAACACGCTGAGAAAAGCATACTGTGCCATACTGCTACACAATTAATCACGATAACAATAAATACTGTCACATTGTCCAGCTCTACCCAGGGGTTTAATCCAGTCCATCACCACCACGGTAAAGACATCTGAACCGTTTCACACCAAACCACTCTGAATCTCTCTGTTTACAGCTCACACACTGAGTTATGGAGGAATTGTTTGTTCACCAAAACAACACAACAACTATAATAAGTATGTTAACCTTTGACTTTTGCTGCTTATGTCTGCTTATAACCAAGCATTTCTGTACATTAACTCAGAGAAAGCACACTCTTAAAAAATGTGGTTCTTCAAAGGTTCTCTAGTAAAGGCAACGGTTCTATTTAGAACCACAAGTTCTGTACGGAAACATCTGCATGCCTAAGTGGTTGTTTGCATGGTGAAATGGTTCTTCAGACTGATAGAGACTGTGTTGTGCGGTTCTGTAAAGAAACTAGACAACAGCAGAACCCTTTCCTACAGAACTCATGGTTCTAAACAGAGCCACTGCCTTTCCTTCAGAACTCCCGCAGAAGCATCTTTTTTAAATGCGTAAGAATGAAGACAGAACGGTTCTGTTTCCACTCTAGAACAGAGGTTCTGTACTGACAGTAACTGCTGCGGCCGTTGTTGTTGCTATGGTTACCAACAGAGCTTCGCTACCGCTTCGGTAAGATTAGCCTCAAAATCCCGCTTAAAACACTGGATTTCTGAGTTTATCTCCGCCTGCTGGTACCGGGGGACCCGGCAGACTCGGAGCGCTGAGTGTAAAACAGAAAATGCCTTAAAAGTTTGAAGAAGCGCCTCGAAGCCAAGCTAACGAGGCTAACGAGGCTAAGCTAACAGCACCGCTTACCTTGGACGACCACAGACTGAGTCATTCTGCTGAGACGGAGCTGCAGCGGCTCTGCTTTAACGATAAACCCCCGTATTTGAGTTTAATAATCTGTATTTTTTTTTATTTTACTTTTTTATTTCATTTTAGCCGCTGAAGCTTCGCGCCCTTGCACTTCAAACCAGTCGCGCGCCGATGACGTCACGGCACAGCGCAGCAGCGCGTCATCCACAGACGCCGAGGGTCTGATTCTCCTGTCTTTTATGAAGATCAGAATTAATTCTGCAGGAAAGTTCCGGAAAGTGGACCATGTGTTTTCTGAACGTGATTATTATAGTTTATAAAGATCTGTCCAAACATTTCCAGATCAATCCGGTCAAATACAGATACAAGCTTTAAGGTGTGGTTGCTGTTTTCGCGTCTGTTCTGTACATCATACAGACATACATCAACTAACCCGCTTATCCTTCTGGGTCGCGGTGGGGTGCTGGAGCCTATCCCAGCTGTCATTGGGCGGAAGGCAGGATACACCCTGGACAGGTCGCCAGTCCATTGCAGGGCAGACATTCACACCTAGGGGCATTTTAGCATGTCCAATAGGCCTGACTGCATGTTTTTGGGAGGAACCTCCACACAGAAATGACCCTGGTTGCCCGGCCGGGAATCGAACCCAGGCCCTTCTTGCTGTGAGGCGACAGCGCTACCCACTGCGCCACCGTGCACTCTGAATCTTGAAACAGACCTTACACAAGACAGAATTAGATTTATTTACTGAGTCTCCTAAATGCCTTAAAGCTGTGTGCAGGAGCCTTTAAGATGCTCGGTTCTTATTAAAGTAGAAAAAGAACAGAGTTAGTAGGTTCAGGTTGGATCCACATCGTTTGGTTGCTGCTGAGCTGCTGCAGATCTACACTCAGTAAGTTATAAGGTAACTTACACTTCCAGCCAACAATACAGTCTCACTGAATTTCACTAAAACAGCACAAGTCTCTGTCTCACTGACTCACACGCTTCTGTTCATTATAAGATTAAACTGAATCTTCATAACATCTCTGGTTCATATCTGTAGTGCAGCCTGTGTATTTCAGCCACACGCCTGTATGACCTGCCTTACTAATGAGCTTAATAATTCTGATTAAAACACTCCTTTCATTCTTCTGCATAACATTGCCCCCGTCTTCATAATTAACACGTTATGTTTGTCTACATTTTGCCTGTAAGTACTGTAGCATGGTAATGGTGTAATGTTATATATGATATATGTGAAGAGTAATTCAGCATCTCTGTTTGAGTGCTGAGACAGATTTTCATGCTAATTTAAGGTGTTCAGTAAACACAGTCCAGGCAGTTGTTTATAGAGGTGTTTATTAAGAAGAGACAGAGCGTAAAAAGGTGTTTAATAAGAGGTCAGGAGTTCAGACACTGTTAATACAATAGAACAGACAGAACGTTCTCCCACTCAGCTCAGCTTCAGGACCCTCTCTCCTCCTCTGGTGACCTCAGTGTCCTTCAGTTAGAGCTCTCAGACAGAGGAGCTGGACAGGCAGTAGACTCAGGACAGAGGAAGTGCTGTGTTAGTGATGAGTATCAGACAGACGGTGTGTTTTATAAACTAAATGGCTGCGTCTGAAACGCACACTTCATGTTCACGTCTGATGATCAAACTTCTGATGTTATTAAGCAATTAATTAATTAATTGAACCCCTTTAACAAAAACATGTCAACCATCCTGTCCTTTTTTCGCTTTCTATTTAGTTTTCTACAATCTTTTACATTAAAAGCCAAATTATGCTTTGTTCACGTTTTAGTGACCCTTCATTTTGATCACTGGGTAAAGAAAGCCCCACCGTGCTCACATGATTTTTATAAAAAAATGCCACATATGCTGTTTTTCATCACAGGGGCTCAGTTAACCAACTCCTCTGTTGAGGAGAGGAGAGAGGAGCGGTGTGTAAAGCAGCTCCGCCTATAAAGACAAAGTTTTTGGACTGAACAGTGTCCAGTGCTGCGGTGCCCAACCACATGGATGAATCCACATTCCGGTCCTGGATTTCGTAATCAGTGCTATGAGTGAAACCTGGGGTGCGTTTAGTCTCAAAACATTCTGCATTGTTTTGCCACAGTTTCCGGGATGAACGACTTGTTTTGTTGAAATGGTGTGAAACGATGTGCAGCTTTGAGGTGTGCTGTCTCTGGTTTGGTGGGCGCGTCGGACCCCACTGTATTAAAAAGGCAGCGCCCAGTGAATTCACATAAAGTTTCTACAAATGCGGCCACTGCACTTTACTGGACGCAGCTACTGAAGATGACAGAAGACGTGTTTTAAAGTATTAAATATGTATCGAAACTCGTTTCATCAGGATCTGAAAATGATCAGAAAAGGACGTGGACAACATCCTTCTCAGCTGCCGTGGTAACAACATAACAGAGTGTTTAACGCTCCACCGGTTACGTTCAAATAAACGCTTCGCTACGTTTTGGCGCAGCTGAACGCAGCCCTGGTGACCAGTTCAGTTAACCAGTGAACACAATATCCAGGACCGGAAACTGGTGTCAGAGTCTGGAATTGAGCACTAGCGTGGTCTACCGTCTGCACGCTGTTCCTTTATGTTTGCTGTTAGAGAATGTGCTGTAGATAAATCCATAAAGAACCTTTCAAAAAGGGTTCTGTATAGCACCAAAAATGGTTCTTCTATTACAATGTCAGGCTTGTCACAATAGAAAAACCCTTATTGCTGCTATATAGAACCCTTTTCAAATAGATTCTACATAGAACCATCTACAGCACGTTCTCCATCAGTCTGAAGAACCATTTCACCATGCAGAGAACCATTTAATCATGGACAGGGTTCTTTGAGTGTCATTGGGTCTATATAGAACCATTTTCTTTGCCAAAGAACCCTTGAGGAAGTGTGTAGTGTGATTTGGGACGCAGCCGGAGTGACTGAGTGATTAAACGTCAGACGCAGGATGAGGAGGCGGCTCAGAGGAAGTGATGATGTCATGATCTCCTGAAAGCAGCGGGCATTCAGGCGGCCGGGCAGCCGCTGAGGCTCACAGCTCCGCTGACCAGCGCCGACCTGCTGAGGTTCACAGCAGATTCACCCACAAACAGGTTCCTCACGCAGCCCGTCAGGCCCCGCCTACTGCTCACGCCCACAGGAAGCAGAGAGTCTGCAGAGAAACCAGCACAGACATCAGGAGAACGGCTTCCAGACCAGTTTAGTCCAGAAACCACATGTAATTAAGGCTATTAGAGGCAGTTAGCACCATGCTAATGGGTGGGTATAAGCTTCAATCACAGAGCTTTAGTCCTATATTAGCATCATAGCTGCAGCGAGGAAGCTGAAGAAATCAACTGTAGACACTAAACAGGATGGACTGATCAGTGTGTTTGGGGCCGATACTGACCGCCTTTTAGCACAATCGGCCGATAGCTGATACCGATCGAGGGCGGGGCTGGACTGTCAAGGCTGATTCACACCACGTACGATTTATTCAAAATGAGGTGATACAGTGAATGAAGTGATACAGTCGCTGTGACTCACCGTCACTCACAGCCTCTCAGCTCTCGCCCGCCGTGACTTTAACCTCCACGTTTTTAGAGTCAGTGTTTGTTCCTGACGCACGTTTGTTTGGGCTGCCACGACAACGGAGCTCTGATTTTAACGCATTCATACAACAGAATATCAACGAAGCTCCAATTAAGACGGTCTGTACTTCCATCTAGTGTTTGAATGAGGAACTGCAGGGTCATGTGACCGAAGGGGTCTCGCGCAGGACTGCAGTGACCCCTTAACCGTATTTAAGGATCACTGCAGTCCTGCGTGAGACCCCTTAAATACGGTTAATTCATATGTTTTACGCCACTGATTGGCTCTCAGGATTGTCTCAGTTAGAGAAACATCAGCTGATCGCATATTTGGGCTGAAATCGCCCGATACCGATACACAGACGATCAATCCTTCCATCTCTACTAAACAGGTCTTGGCTGATCAACTACATTTGGGGGTGAAGAGAGGGGCTCTGGGAGAAGTAGAGTTCCTGTGAACTATCGCCTTAATTGCATCGGTGTTGGGCTGCAGCTAAAGCTGGGACCACTCGATAATTGATAATCAACAACAGCCATGAAATCAATGAGCAAAATGTATTTATTTCTTTCCTATACATGAGCACTGAGCACTCCGATCCGTTTTTCCAAAACTCCGGTTCAGCTTTCACTTTATTTACACACACAGTGCACTGAGGCGCTGCTGCGTGAAGAGAACTCCATTAAAAAACAGCGTTTTTCATCATTAATGAATTTGTCGTTGTGGTTTTTACACACAGAGTCGATTTCTACAGTTTTAACGCAGTGAAACCTTCACATCAAGTCCAACGTGCTTTTCTTTTACCCTGAGAGGAAGACGCGGAGGAGAAAAGTATTTATGGTGATGAAGACGACGTTTTCCTTTCAGCCAGAGCTGCTCGAACACGTGTTCATAAAACTCACCGTAAAAAATGCCTTGTGAGTTTTGTCGCCCCCTTCTGGCAGAAATGGAAACCGCAAAGGAGAGCGCAAAAACTGTCTTTACTTTTTTGTAAGCTAACATAAAGAGGTTTCATTCTAAGTGATATTTCAGTGTTTCTGTTGGTCCATTCATCATGAAATTTTCCCACAGTGTAAAGATCAGCTGCCAAGTTTAAATGATGTAGAAGAATAAACACTGAGAAGAACCGAGCCGCATGTTTCTCTTCGGGCAGCGACGATGTGTAACTGTAAAGCACTCCTGGCTTTAATTAATCGCTCTGTATGTTGGAGTTTCTGACCTGGAGCTCCTCCAATGAAGACGGGCGCTCTGGGGGTCTCCGTGTTGGGGGTGATGGGAATCACTGGTCCGACCACATGGGTCACCTCAGAGTCCACATCCAACTGCACCACGTTAGAGTCTCTGATCACTGAGGATCACAAACACAGCAGGACGTTTCTGTCAGTACATCACGCATTGATTAGCTGATCCATTTACACATAAAATATATATGATTAATATTCATCAATATAATAACAGCAGTTACTGCAGAGAGGCTGTGAACTGAGAGACAAAACTGAGAATTATTTTTTATATTTAACTGTAACACTGATCAACTGTGATCAGACTCTCGACCTCTGACCTGTGATCTTGTGCCAGTTTCCGTCGCAGATGCCCCCT